TTTGGGCAGCCAAATTTCATAGATGGACCTTGCTCTGGCCAATCATCTTCAGCAGTGACTTCCAACTTAGTGAGCCACATTTGACTAATGTTTAAGAAAGATGCACATTGCAGTTACCACAATACACAATACACTGGGCATTGGGTCAGGCAAAATCAAATTCAAAATTCTGCCCAAGCATGGAGCATTAGAGTTGTGAAGTCGGAAAGTCATTGGATGCTACAGAAACTGATGTCCAAAAAAGACTGGTCAAAGTGCAAAAAATTGTTGGAGGTCACCCTCACTGTGTCTCAGAAATCAACATAGGTAGTGAACATACCAGTTTGATCTTGAGAAGAAGCAATAGTCAACAGAGTGAATCTTTTCATATTACCCAAACTAAGGCTGGAGCACTATGGATACCAAGGGTGAAGAATGATTGTCCTTTTCTTTGGTGCTAATGGCCATGTGGCAACAGTGATCTAGGGATAGAGCTATGTCAGTGTTACTCTAAAGTATGCTTCCTCATGGTCTTCAAGGAGATCTAGCACAGGTGTCCAAAGACAGGGCTCAGAGGGACATTCAGGTGTCATGACAATGCATTTGCCTGAACCTTAAACTTCCTGGTTGATCAGGAGTCCAGCTGGTGGAGCATTATAGCCTAGGCTTTGCCCCCAGTTACTTTGGATGAATGAACTTCTCGTGTTCATAAACTTTCTGAGTGACCCTCATATAGGCCTACATTTACTTGAAAAAGAAAAGCCAGGACTGAATAATGACATGCGATATTTTAATTTCTTATTTCAATTATGTATGGTTGCAACTGGAATCAGCATCATCAAAATGTAAAATGTGCCAATTGTAGCTGATGCCTCAGGGTAACCTCAACCTCAAGAATGAATGAAAAAAAAAGTAAAGACCAACCCATCAGCAGAAGCACTTCGAGTTCGATAAGGGTTGCGCCGAGCATTAGGAGGTCGAGGGAGACCGAGTGCACGAGGTCTCTCCAGTGTTCCTTCTCCACTATCACTGCCTTTGCTTAGCACCCCCCCCCCCCCCCCGGCTCATGAGCCTAAATTTGCTATAGCCCATACATTGCCAAAAGTATTGGGACAAGATTCCTTCCGTTGATAACAGATTGTCCCAGAGACCATGTGGTACAGGTCATTACTCTAGCCCAAAAGTATATAACGGTTGTCTGCAATCTGTTAAAATTGATGTTTGCTGGTATGACGAGTGGATTGGAGCTGACGGAGTTTGAACATGGAACGATTGTTGCTTGTCATATATGTCCCTTGTCCCAATACTTTTTGCAATGTAGTGCATATTAACGGCTGGATTCCTATCAAATTCTTATTTTCAACATAACTGGCGAGATAGCAAAAGAGAGGCTGCCCCTCCACTAGTAGAGATCTGTTGCTGAGATCCGTCTGCCAAAGTATTTACGCACTCCTCATGTTATGCTCTCAGGCAATTCAGTGAATGGAAACATGGGGATCGCGCTCTTGGAACGTAATTTTGAGGTGGTAATGTAGACCACCATTCCTAGTTGCCTGTGAAAGGAAGAAGGAAAAATTAATTAGGTTCCTGTGCAGTGGTTCCCAAACCTCCATTTTCTCACATTGAACCTTCATGCGTCCGGTGGATCGCGACCCATCATTTGGGAACCTCTGCTTCAGTGGAATATGCAAGGAATATGCCTTTGAGATCTGCTATTAAAAGGGAAGTTGATCGCTTCCCAGCTTTGCATCAAGGAGGCGCCTACTATCAGGCTTCCATCTAGCGGTTATGAATTGAAGCAGCGTCAGGGCAGGAGAGCCATCTGGTAGAAAATCGATGGAACAACTGTGATGCTGCTCAAGGAAAATGGTCGCCTACTGCTTCTCTCCATTTATTTTTTCCTCACGCGCCTGACATGAAACATTCAATCCTCTCTGATCGTATTTCTCTCACTCCCCAGTGTCTCTATGGGGGCCTGGTTGCAATGTCGCCCTGCCTTTACTTCTTACTAGTCTCCCCACCATAGGCCACCCTAGACCTTGGGCAGCCCCTACGTCAGGTGCATCTTGTCTGGTCACGTCCGGGAATGTTTAGACCGTGACGTAATTGACACCACCCCAAATCCTTTTATTTTAGTTCACCTCACTCAGTGTTAGCCTAACCTTATGACGTGGTGGTTCTTTAGGAAAGCTTCTTGACCTGCTTTATTTATTCCAAGTTTAGAAGAGATGAAGGCTGTGATATCAATCCATGCTGGATGAACTGCACAACCCAGTTGGACCTGTATGCTGGAGTACCAGACCAAACAGCTGGTCCATACCTGTGTTCATATGTGAGGTGATATGGCGAGAAGGAGTGATGCCTTTGGGAAATGCTTCAACGTGTCAGTTGTGGGACTCTCAGGGACCGAGCGCGATAAAGGGAGTTTAGGAAGCGGGAAGTCTTGCCTCTGTAACCGCTTTGTACGCCCTCATGCTGATGATTATTACACGGATCATATATCTGTTTTGAGTCAGGTAAGAAAATCATAGGCTAGCTTCTAAATGAAAATGTCAAGCCTAGATCTACTATAGACTTCAGACTTATGTGAATAGGTCAATGCTTCACTTTTCATCTCACTTGAATCTATTAAAAAATTGGGAAATGCTGAATCTTTTCTAGACTGACTTTTCTGGCCGAGTTGTGAACAATGATCATTTCCTCTATTGGGGTGAAGTTACCAAGACTGCTGAAGATGGCTCTGAATTTAATTTCCAAGTTGTTGAACAGACAGAATTCATTGATGATGCCTCCTTTCAGACATTCAAAGGTATGACTCTTTCCAAGACAATACTCTGCCTGGACTTTCCATATTTAGATCTTAATTATAGTGCCATTTTCAAGACTAATATAATAAGTTTGTTACTTATGAATGTAGTAGTTTTAGGTTATTACAAAACATTAGCCCTACAAGTTTCAGTGTTTTCAAGGTATTTCCAACATTTGATGCTCAACACTTCTAACTCTCAATTGGCTATTCTCTTTAGACACAATAGCATTGATCCCAGTGTCTTGCAATATGACTTTACTGTCTCCTCCCCTTCTTCTCTCTTGGGAATCAAGGTAGTAGTGGTAGACTAGGATGATGTTGATTCACAAATTCCTTTACTATCATTTAAAAAGAATCATTTCCTCTCCACAACTTAGGAATAGAACTAAACTTGTCATTACCCCTGCCCTACTACCTTCCTTCCTACATTGGGGAAGTTACACCCATCAAACCTTAGTAGTGTTGTATATTTTTGGTGTTACAGAAGTACTAAACTATTTTAAAGGATAAGAAAGACTTAAAGGTAAAGAAGAGCCTTATAATTATTACCTCTTTGGCAGTTACCTTACACAAAAAACTATCATGCACCCTTAGGCCACAACCCATCAAGTCATAGAAGTGATCAACACAGGCTGAGTGAGCTGATTCTTTCTGTATTTGATAGAAAGAATGGATTGGGAGTTGATTCCCAATTGGAATAGAGAAGGGTTGTAGACATTGACCTCAATTAATTTCTAAATCAATTGACCTATTCTCTTTGGTCATAGAAGAATCAAAGAGAGAAGAAGTGTAAGAAATTATTCCTAAAAAGTAACCTTACCACCTGAAAATGGTTTTGACAACCACAAGCAAGTATAAAGGCCAGTTGAAAATTTCTGACCATAGTTTCCTTTCACTTGTGCATTTGAGCCCAAATTTATCCTGTGCATTTCCTGCATGCCTTATCATTTAAAGCATCCCATTACATTTTCTATTCATGTTATAAAGTTGTGGTGTTTTTTCTGCCTCTTGTCAACAACTTGCCTGATGAAGTAAGTAATATTTTCTATAGAGGTATGGAAGAATTGACCATTGAGGATATTCACTCCTATGAGATTGATGAGCACATTTCAAACTACAAAATACATTCTCCTATGACTTTGTGGAATGTCCTCAATGGTTGAGAATTCAATAAGAACTATGTGGTAAATTTGTTGAATTCATCAGATGTTGACCTAGAGCAAAAAGCACACCACAACTTCAAAATAAATCAAGAAAATGGCATTGAATGTATGTCCTGCAATCACTAGATGTGTAAAGAAAAATGAGGCTTGGGAAACTGTTTAACCACTCATAAAAGGGCCATCTCTGCCTCTCATATTCCTTAAAACCCATGTTGGATTTATAGCCTTACTATTCCAAAAATCCCCCCTGTTGAAAAACTTTCAATTTTCCACTTCACATTACATCCATACATTAGGAAAATCCATATAAACTGCTTGAGAAATGACTGCCTAGCTGACCTATAACTTAGAAGCTGAGCCTGGTTATTAGATATTGGGGTTTGGGATCCATTCAAATGATATGCTCACTGGTATGAATATTGTGAGTGGACTATTCTTGGAGTGTATCCCTGTACTGCTGCCATCAGTTGTTCAAAAGCACGATGTCTCTGTATATGTGTAGTGCATTCAGGCATTGAGAGTAATTTAGTTTCCACTCCAATTTCAGGAGGAAAGACAGACCCATACTTCAAGCGCTGTTGTGCTACAAAGTTGTCATCTGCAGAGAAACTCATGTATATTTGCAAGAATCAGCTTGGTGAGTTCACATGTCCAGTGGAAGCATGAATGCTTTTTTCTCCTCATCTCAATATTAACTTACAAGGACTAGGGCAAGGTATTTTTGTGAAAGTATCTTGATTTGAGTTTTATTTGCTCTTCAGGTATCGAGAAGGAGTATGAAGAAAAGCTGCTTCCAGATGGAAAGATAACAATTGATGGGTTCCTCTGTGTGTTTGACGTGAGTGTAGTGCAAAATCGAAGCTTGGATCGGCAATCCGAATACACGGTGGCCATTCTGAATAGCATCATGCGCACAAAGAAGCCTGTTGTGCTTGTGACAAGTAAAAATGATGAGGCCAATGAGCTCTACATCAGGGAGGCAGAACGCCTTGTAGCTCGCAAGGAATTCAAAGGTTCCATTCCTCTTGTGGAGACATCAGCTCATGAAAATGTGAATGTGGATCTGGCATTTGTCATCCTTGCTCAACTGGTTGATAAGTCTCGAACTCGACTGCGGATAATCCCTTATGTGGAAGCGGCACGGCATCGTAAGGAAATTCTTGATGCTTGCACTGAAAACTTTCAGCGCCTTGTCCGCTCTCAGGTGACAGACTTCCGCACCTCCTGGGCCCTAGCAACAAAGAAGATATTTGCTCAACACCGAGATTTCCTGAACTATTGCGATTTAATGGGCAGGGATAGTGCTCAGAGACTATTCAAACGACATGTTAAGAAGCTGAAGGATGATTTCATTCAGAGGAAGCTCCAGGGTTACTTGGAGATGTTACCTGATGTCCTTATGGAATTTTTCCCTGATCTCAGCTCTTTGGAACAAAGGTAAGTCATGTTTTCTTTTAGTTCATCACCCCTTAACCCTTAAAGGTCTACAATGAAGCTATTGGGAGTCTTCCAAACCACATACAACAAAATTTAATGCACGAGACCTTGAAAAATATATACCTATAAAAAAGAAGTGCAAGCATATATATCATTGAAACATCATTGAGTGCTTGGAAGGAAATTAAACATAATAATGTGATCTCATGGACCTGAGATCTGTCTGCTGGTGAAATTGATTTAAGAAATGGGGAAATAATTTGATGGTTTACTGGTTCTGTGCCTGGCAGTGACTGGAATGGAATACGGGAACAGATCATGAATCACCCAGACTTCCATCTCCATTTTGTTGATGCACCTCTGGATGAAATGGATCTATTGGAGACAACTGATTCTCGGATCCCTGTTGATCTGTTGGAGTCCATTGATGCAGAAACCTGCTTCCGAAACCATATCAATGCACTGTTGGCAGAGAGGAAGCGAGTGCAGTGAGTGTCATTATTTCTACCTATTAAGTCTTGAAGAGACCAGACTGGATGTCTTGATTATTACCTTCAGATTGAGGGAGGACTTCAAGAAGCTGTTGGAAGATTCTGGGTATGTGACACCTGGAAAAGGCTTGTCAGAGGTCCAAGTGCTTTTCATGGGTCGAGAATGCTTTGAAGCCCTCCCAACCAGGGATGTTCAAGAAGTGTATGATCTTCATCAGCGGGAAATCATTGATAGGGCCAGGCAAAACTTCCAGGTATGGTACACCTGAGATCTCTTGGTATCCTAATAACCATGATCATGGATTGGCGATAACCCTGTGAATACCTTAGGAACTTCTTCTGGAGTATGCTGAACTGTTTTCCCAATATCGCAACAGTCCCTCCTCAAGTTCAGGATCCATGACACAGGATGATGTTCGACATATTCAGGAGGCTCTCCAAGAAGATTCCAGGTTAGGAGAGCTGAATAGGATGGTTTTTGGACATTTCTCATCATTACTTTTGCTTTTATCCCAAAACCTCCTCATTGCAGGTATAAAGCATTGGACCGCTTGGAGCAAGACAGGAAACTGATGTTGCTGCAGCACCTAGGCTTTGTGTATTGTCCTCTTCGAGAGCACTGTCCCTCCTATCCGAATTGCATTGATGCAGTCATTGAACGCATACTTGCTACCAAAGTGCAGAGGTGATGAAAGCAATCTCTTAAATTCTCTTGTTTTTATTATCAAAGTTACTAAAGTATTTTGACTTATTTAGGAGTAGTGGAAGTTGGACAAGTGGTATGGGAGCACCACCTGGTCCTGGTTGTTTCAATGGAGGAATATCTAACCATGTCAACCTGGTTCTTCTTGGTGCCACTGGGCTTGCACAGGAACTGGCTGCTGAGATTCGGGTCTGTTTGGTTTCCTTCATCTCCTCGTATGTAGAAACTGACCTTTTTTGATGTATGGGTACAATAATTGCAGGCTCAATGTGATGATGATGAACTTGAGGTTGATGGGCAGCTTTATTCCCTGGATACTCATGTCATTGAGGGAGATGTAAATCTGCCACAGAATGTTTTACATAGCACAGACTTCACTCCACAAGGTAATAATAATTATCATTTCTTGAGAATGAATTCTGTGTCCAGGAATTCAAACAAGCATCTTCATGGTGGTCTTTGCAGGGATATTGTGTGTGTACTCAAGCAGCCAAACTTTAGAGTACCTGAATGAAAGTTTGGAGAAGACTTTGCTTTCCAATTTGGAACAAGGAGATCGTCTCCCTTTTCAAGGGATACCAATTCTGATCTTATTTGGAGGCGACCCTGCTCTTGGGGAAGCTGCCCTATTCTCCCTGCAGGAAGCTGGCCAAAGCCTTGCACAAAGGTAATAACCATAGATGTGTCTGTTCTTGCTGTCATGCATTCTTTTACACTGGCCTTTCTGTCTCTGCAGCCAACGATGTGAGTTTGTGAGTGTGAATGAAGCAATTGGAGTTGTGGGAAGAAGGGTGCATCCTCTTCTAGTCCAAGCTGCACTTCAGAAGATTGTCCCAATCATCAAGGATCGTGGCCTTCTTCCCCTTCTACCATCTCCTTCCCTTAATCTCTCTCATAACATCCTTGCTGGCCTTCAAGACCCAGTTGAACCTGATTTCCGGTTGGTTTTCTACCCTTTTTTGTGATTATATTTCTCTTGTGGCATTCTAGTAAAAAATGTAATTGTGTGTGTGCTAGGGTGATGCTGTGCATGCTGTGTGGAGACCCTTTCTCAGTAGAGAATGTTCTGAGCCCCCTTCTGAATCATCCTGGAGGAGCACGGATCAATGGAGGGCAAAGCCTTCTGTTGGACACATTCCTTGGGGATGCCAAGAGGGGTGTCGAAGTCCTGGTTTCCTCATATCATGGAGCCAGTGCATTCCGAGATGATCTCATCCATGGCTTCATTCTAGTCTATTCGACCAAGCGCAAAGCTTCGCTTGCCAATCTCACTGCATTCTCCAATCACATTCCACATCTCCCTATTCAAATCCTGGCTGTGACTGAGGGTGGAGGTGCCAATGCCTTTTTCAGCTCAGATCTGAGTCATCAACTCATTACCGAGGGCAATAACATTGCTGACAAGCTACAGGCTCACTTCACCACTTCAGCTGCCACTACTCAACAGAAAAGTGTGTTGTTGTCAAGAGTTGTTATTACAGAATGGTAATGGTTTTCCTGTACTGCATATCCTATTTTGTATTCCCCCAGCTGCCTTCTACTCCTCCTTTTTCCGGGAGGTGTGGGAAAAGAAGCCAGAGATAGAGCAGGCCCTGGAATTAGAGGAGAGGAGTCTAGAAGGTGATAGTGGAGAAGGAACACTGGAGAGACCTCGTGCACTCGGTCTCCCTCGACCTCCTAATGCTCGGCGCAACCCTTATCGAACTCGAAGTGCTTCTGCTGATGGGTTGGTCTTTACTTTTTTTTTTCATTCATTCTTGAGGTTGAGGTTACCCTGAGGCATCAGCTACAATTGGCATATTTTACATTTTGATGATACTGATTCCAGTTGCAACCATACATAATTAAAATAAGAAATTAAAATATCGCATAACATTATTCAGTCCTGGCTTTTCTTTTTCAAGTAAGTGTAGGCCTATATGAGGGTCACTCAGAAAGTTTATGAACACGAGAAGTTCATTCATCAGAAGTAACTGGGGGCAAAGCCTAGGCTGTAATGCTCCACCAGCTGGACCAACCAGGAAGTTTAAGGTTCAGGCAAATGCATTTTCATGACACCGGAATGTCCCTCTGAGCCCTGTCTTTGGACACCTGGGCTAGATCTCCTTGAAGACCATGAGGAAGCATACTTTACAGTAACACTGACATAGCTCTATCCCTAGATCACTGTTGCCACAGGCCATTAGCACCAAAGAAAAGGACAATCATTCTTCACCCTTGGTATCCATAGTGCTCCAGCCTTAGTTGGGGTAATATGAAAAGATTCACTCTGTTGACTATTGCTTCTTCTCAAGATCAAACTGGTATGTTCACTACCTATGTTGATTTCTGAGACACAATGAGGGTGACCTCCGACAATTTTTTGCACTTTGACCAGTCTTTTTTGGACATCAGTTTCTGTAGCACCCAATGACTTTCCAACTTCACAACTCTAATGCTCCATGCTTGGGCAGAATGTTGAATTTGATTTTGCCTGACCCAATGCCCAGTGTATTGTGGTAACTGCAATGTGCATCTTTCTTAAACATTAGTCAAATGTGGCTCACTAAGTTGGAAGTCACTGCTGAAGATGATTGGCCAGAGCAAGGTCCATCTATGAAATTTGGCTGCCCAAAACAGAAATCACCAAACCACTTAAAGATGATGAATATCTTGGGTCCTCAAAAGCTTATATGATGTGGGCAAGCAGCTGATGCTCATTGAAGGTGCATTTGGAAAATTAAATTTTTAAATATTCCCTTTGGTTAGCTGCCATGGTCAACCTAGATCATCTGATGGAAGGTGATGAGGTGAAGGGGACATTTATTTCATTTTGAAGTGAAAATAGCTGTTTTTGTCTAATTTGTAGATCTCACCCAAAGTAAATTTAAAAAATGAAGTCCATATCCAATTTAGGGTAAATTTTACTTCTAGTGAATAATGAGCTAAGATGTAATAGCTCTCATAGATATTGATGGTTTTTATAATAATAATAATAAAAAAAACATTTTAAGCAGCTCAATTTTTCCTATTCAATCCTGCAAGTTTATGGGGAAAGTTAATGGGAAAAATGAAAGGACCATGTCAGGTATCATTATTTATAGTGATGTACTGGATAGGGCAGTGTTTCCCAAACAGTGTGCCACCAGTAAGGCTTAGGTGTGCTTTGAGATTTGAGAGTTGACAAAAAAACTATAAACCTAAAACTAAAAAAAATTTTAAATAAGAGGGAAAGCCATCTCAGTGGAAAATGAACTTAGAGTTTCACTATCATGCCTCATATCAAACTGCTGTATTTAGTGAAGCAAGCATAAGTTTCCCATTGAAAGTAATTAAATTGCTGGGTGTGCTGTGGAAAGTTCAAGTGTCCTTATGTGTGCCGGAACTAAGAAAAGATTGGGAACCACTGGGATAGGGTCTCAGTTGAATAAGATAGGGGATACAGGATGTCCTGCTGTGGGTATCAGTATGGAGCTGGTTAGTCATATTTGTGTTTAGATTAGTGTGTTTTGCATAGGCACATCAGCTTCAATGTTTTTACTCCCTTGCTTCAATACAACAAAGACAAGGCAGGTATTGTTGAACAATCATGGGTGTCTCTCCTAGGTTCAAGAAGAGTAGTACTGTGAAATTCCAGTTGTTTTGATAGCTTTTTCTTTGAAATTTTTGTTGCTGTGAAACACAGAGCACCTAAAGAAAGAAAAAACTGGTTGAGATGAAAAGGAAGAAGGGAAGATCAAAGAGGAAGGCAGGACATCATCCTTATAAGCAATTCCTTGGATCAACAAGGAACTTACAGAAAGGAATTTCATTTGGCTCCATGTATTTATTTTGTTGCCTTCATTTTTCTCCCTGCACTGATGGACTGGACTTCCTTCATTAGAAATAGATGGAATCCTCTCACATGCCTATTGGGCTAGGTCTAAAAATTCTCTCTCTCTAAGAATGATATGGTGAGAGGTGGTGGTACCTATCATGGCAATTCTCAGTTCCTTTTTTTTTTAAGACTAATTCCCATTCTTTTTCTCCCTTCCCCAGGCTCCCTCTCCCCCTAATTTCTGATATTCATCCCTTCAATCCAATCAGATTGAAATGACAAATATTCGGTAGATGACTAATCAAAGGGCCTTGGAATATTGAATAATTTCACTACAATTTGCAATTATAACCACATCAGTAAAAATTCCAAGACAACCTGAAAGAAAAATTAACCACTTTGCAGGAGTGGAGGTTCAGAGTCTTTGTATGAACGCCTTCCTGCTGATGGATCCCCTGGAGATGACCTGGAAGAACCACTTTCCCCAACTGGAGATGAGGGAGTAAGATCCTCAGATGACAGTGAGGCCTATTCTCCCCTCCTCACAAGAGACCGTCGCCTCCCAAATGACCATGAGGAAGCTCTAGTTAAGCCTTCTCAACTGAAGAAGAAAATTCTTAAAGGTGAGCAGGGTGTGAGAAGGGATTTTGTTAGGCCTATTGTACTTTTTCACTATCACAGGCTGGATTATAGATGGATTTCTGGTTGTCCATAATATTTGCATTGCTGGGCATGTGATCATTCTCTTCTCTTCGAAAGGATGCACCATTCCAGACAATAAGAAATGCCTAGAATCCTACCAATAATCCAGTCTGCACAAGCAGAGGGAAAAATTCTGTGCAGTGACAAAAGCTCTGTATTGAAGAAAGGAGGAATGATGACTGAATATGTTGCAGAGGGCTACAGGGAAGGCTACCCAAGCCCTGGCTCACGGTCCATCACAAGGCAAAAACTCCCCCCTCCTCCCACTGCTCCTCCTCCTCCCCCTCCCTCAACAGGAGACACTGAACTCCATTACCATGTATCCACCATCATCCAACAAGGTCCAATGAATTCACCTCCTCCCCCTTATCATGCCTTCTCATCCCCATACAATGCCGGTGCCACTGCTCGTCATGTTTCACGCTACAACTTTACCAATGCCGTGGGTTCCCGACACTCGGACCCTCTATCCCACGTTCCATTTTACACGGCATCGGAGAGGGGTGAATATGGCTATGCGTGCTCAACGTTGTTCTGTGGTACATCTTTCAACTCTTCTCTTTCACCTTGAGTTCCACTCGATTTCATTCTCGAGTTTGGCACGCCCACTCGTGAAGTTGCCATGAACCCTAAGTTGAAGCCTTTGCTGTTGCATGTCTGGCACATTTGCCTGCAGCTTGTTCTGTGGTACATCAGAGAGTCAAGAATGCCCTTTGAAGGCCTGCTTAGCTGCATGAGAATCACAGAGAGTCTGAGTGATGATGGAGAAATCCTCATTGCAGGGGGAAGCAAGGCCACAATGCATCAACACTCATCCCCTCCTGAACCTGCTCCCCCAGATTTTCTGCATTTGCGGAGACTGCGCAAAGCCACCACTCTTCCATCCGACAGCGGTGCCAATTCTGATGACAACTTGCCAAGTGCGCATTTATAAATTTCCTTATTGGCAGCGTGTCCTACCTTCCATCTCTGTTTTTGCAGTTATCTTCAGTCTCTGCTGCTCCAGCAGCACCTTCTGTTGCCTTCATCTGCCCTGGTTTTGGAAACAACCTTGAATTTATTTTTGTTTCAGCCTATGTTGTTGTTTCATGATGGAAGGTCATCTCAGAGTTTTTGTCTATTTCCATTGCTCTCCCCTGCCATTGACATCATTCTATTTAGTTGGATGCTGCTTTACATCATCACTTCATTCACATTTGGTAGTTCATGAATCATCATCTTGTGTAAATGAAGATGACTGCTCATGGAGTGAACAGAAATCTTTATTGTCAGCTCTTCCTTATAAATTTAATCTATGCATGTTATGACTGTTGTCAAATGCATTGCCCTGCCTCCTTGATACTGACTTAATCTCTAGTAGACCTACATTTTGAAGTGCCTGGTACATTTAATTTTTCTCAGACATGATTTTAGTATGTAATGATTGAGCTGATTAAATTTGAAAGTGTGAGAAGCTGCACAACATCAGAACTCACATGCATGAATGAATTTGCTAGTTCCTCTGCAAAGGTTTCAAAGTAGCTACAAAATGCATGAGATGCTATAGAAAGATGTGAACTCTTGACATTTTGAGGGAGAACTATTTATTCACTGTGGATTTTTGTGCTTTGACATTTAGCTTGGGTGGATGACAGCAATTTTTGGAGACGAGCTGAGGAGCTGCCATCTGGTGGGCGATCCATGACACTTGGAAGAAACAAATCCAGGCCTTCACCTACATCGAATCAATCCAAAGGAAAATCCCCTCACACATTGAAGGTGAGTAAAGTTAAGGCGAGCCCCTATAGCCATGCTTTTGGTTGGCTGTTTTATTGTATATCATATCAGTTGAATTTAATTTGTTTTGCTTCCATAATGGCAGACTGTGGCAGCAAAACAAGTTTCATCCTTTCCTGTAGCAACCCATTCAAAAACCAGAACAGATTCTAAGTTTATCATTCATTAATAATAATTTATTCTTTCCAGGTATTGTGGAGCTGTTAATATTTTGTGCATGAAGGGTATTTTTGCATGAAACTCTAGATGAAATGGAGACACAAGTACTTTTTCAGTTTCTATTCAATATTGTAGGCATGAAATGTGTGCATTAAAATGCCCATATTTTGCAATTTTGCTACTCCCTCTTGAATAGCCCATGGAGTAAGGTGGAGGATGGAAACTATGCAAATGACCTTAAGCGCTTGGCTAGTAGCATCAATGAAGCTTGATAGTTTGCTTTAAAATCTGTAGCTGCAGTTTATTAGTTAATGTCTTGGAATCCATGTGAATTGAAACGTGGTCTCCTTCGTGGTGTGTTTGGGTGTAGCAACCTGGGAAATTGAACCTGGATCATTTTTCTAACATCACCGATGCAATAGCACGATTGAACCTGGAGAATCATGGAAAGCCGCCTCCTCCTGACATCCCCAAGGTCTCCCCAACTGCTTTCTCCTTGTACTGCATGATTATCATAACCCTATGTAGTCCTTGTTTTGCTTTCTTAATGTGGCAGTAATGGTGCTACCCATCTGTTATGAGGCTATACCATGAGCCATAGTATCTTTTTGCTCATTCATCCTTGAGTCCTATCAAGATGATACTCTGTTGTGTCAGTAACTAAACATATTTAAATACAAAATAATTATTTAAAAACTGTTAAGTAAACTCCTACCAATACATTCAACCAAAAGACTTGATCGGTGCCTCTTTTCTGGTAAGGAGTCCCCTGTCCAAAACATTTTAATGCATGAGAGTGTAGTGAAATCTTAAGAAATAATTGTAGACCTACAAGGAAGCCAGATTAATTTGCAAAAAAAATTTCAAGCTCCAGAAGGAAAATGAAGACTCTAGCAACCATCCACTTAAAGGCAAAGAAAATTGGTATATGTAAGTGGACCAATTTTTCAGCTGTTGCATAAATCCCACAAACTACTATCTTTAATAGTAGAGGCATCTATGAGTGGATTGATGTATATTTAGCTAATTCTTTGATCTTCATTGAAGAGTTGTCCCCAGTCCCCAAAAAAAGGTGTATGTTTGTTGTTGTTTATCTGCTTTAATTCTCTGTCAGTACTTGTATGCTTAATTCCTCTAAATTGTGCTATTCGTGCTGCTCTTTTTCCCAAAATTTCCTTTATCTTGATGACTTTATATTGCTCTTTCACTCAGTTATTAAATATTCATATCCACAAAAGAAAACCATGGATATTTTTTTCACTAAACCATTTGGTTTTTCTAATGCTTCTTTTCTGAATGAATCACACTGATCTCTGCCAAAACACCCTGTGCCTAGTAGAGTCCATGCAATTTCTAAAAATTAAACATTCTTGATGATTCAAAATGCAATGAGACATTAAACCTCCAACACAGGCAAAGGAGAGTGGATATGGTCAGTTTGATGGGGCCTTCTCTTACCTGCATGGAGATGGAAAGCCACGTCTCCCTGCTCGCAGAGTACAGCGCAAAGAAAAAAGCCGACCTTGTGAGTATTTTCTGATCTCTATTCTACTTGTTCTTGTACTATCTTATCTTGCTTCTGAGGGTTTCAGGTTTTGGATGTCTCTTCTAGCTATTATCTACAGGGTGTATGACAAGTAACTCCCTATTTTAAAATGCCTGTAACTCATATTTTTTAAACAAAATTGAATGAAACAAACTGTGAATTATGCACTAATTAGTGAGGTTTTTATTTTCGTTTGTGTTTTTTTTTCCAGTTAAAGAATGGCTAACAGAGTAACAGTTCAACAAAGGGCCAAAATAGCTGCCCATTATGAGGTTTGGGTATCAATAGTTAAAGTTCAGTGATGGTGGAGGGTTGATAATGGTCCTCATGCAACACTGGATGCTAAGACAATAAAGAATTGTCATCAGAAGTTAATGATGACCGGTTCAGTAACGGACAAGACCAAATCAGGATGACCATTAACTTTGTGAACTCCTGAAAACATTGAAAAAGTGAACACTGTTTACAAGAACTCCTAGCAAATCAGTTTGTGCAGACGCTTGTTCTTAATGAACTGGAAGAAAAAATCAACAATGTTCTTAACAACGTACCTTGACACGTTACAATCAGCAGTGGGAAAAATACCTGTTTGCTTAAGGAAACATGCTGACAATGCAGAAGCATATGTGGAAGTGTGAACAAATAAAAACCTCACTAACTGGTGCATAATTCACAATTTGTTTCATTCAATTTTGTTAAAAAATAAGTTACAAGCATTTCAAAATAGTTACCTATCACACACACTGTATATATATCTTACTGCTGATGTAATACCTCCTCTGCTTAGCTTTCATTTGTATGCAAGCTTTCAGTTTAGCAATTCCTAGAAGTTTGATATACATTCTGTCTGGGAATGGATGAAGTCAGAAGTGCATGTTGGTGACGTAGGCTTACTATTGTGGGTGGTGGGTGATGTAGCTGTTGCACTGTTGTACAGCATATTCGGAATCTGAGAGCGACGCCACCTCTCCCGATTGTCTTGTGAGGCCTCCCTTGACCATACCCCAAGGGCCATTAGTTCCCAATCCTGCCCCAGGGAGGAAGCCTCGCTCCAAGAAGAAGCGAGCTGCCATTCCTGTTGCCATGCCAACTGTCCCCTCAGTGGGGAATCCTCCCAGTGGGTACAAGGCTTCTGATGCCTCTGATATAGGTATGAGCTTTGAACACACCTGATTCTTCCCAATGCAGAAATCACCTGCTTTTTTTGTTTCTAAGTTCCAAATCTGCATGGGCCAGGCTCTGGCTACTCCACCTGGGTTTTATTCTGCTGTATTTCTTTGCCTGCCCATCTATTTCTGCATTTTGCTTTCAAGTCTCTTCCACTTTCTGCCTCAATTTTCCTTCTGACATTGTTTACTGGGATAACAAAGGCTTGGCTTCCCTTTCAAGTTTTGAGAGAAGTCAATCTCTAAGGTTTGATTAGGTCTTGAAATTAGGTATTTTTGGCAAAAATGAGTTGTAAGCAAAAGGTAAAGTCTTAAACTACCAAAGGCTTGGAATTTACTTGTGTCTCCTTGGTTTTATTTATTTATTTTTCAATCAGACCTCTTCTATTCCAGGACAGCCTGTATATTACTATAATGGATGCTAATCAAGAAAGATGTTTTTAATGACCAAGGTCTCAAAAAAGCTTCAAAACTCAATTAGGAAAGGCAAGTTAGTGTCAATACCATGTAAGAACTTATTTTCAGGATTTTCAGGTGATGCCATTACTACAGAAGAAATTGAGCATCATCTTTATTTGTTTAGCAAGAAGACTGTTTTGTATTTTTGCAAACTTGGGTATCTGTTTCCTCTGAAGTTGTTGCTGTACATTAAGCATTTCCTCATCTCCATTGACCCATCTCCAATTGCTTCTGAAACAAAAATAACTAACAAATAACGCAATAATGATTTTTTTCTGGCAGCTCGAAGCCAAAGCGCATCAGAGGACAGTGATGTCACTGACCACCAACAGCAAAGGCCTCGAAGGAGGAGATCACTACGTGCTAAGAAAAAGTCCTCCACAACATCTTCATCATCAGCCACAGGAACTTTTGTTCCTGTCCCCTCTCCTGTCCAACCCACCAAAGGGAATTCTTCTGCATCTGAATTATATTCTCCATCCTGTGAGTCCTCATATCTGTTATTTCAATGAGCATTGAATGTTCAGTCATGTGATCACATGAATGTTTTCTTGGATTTTTAGCTAAAGGGAAAGGAGATGAGGTTTTCCGTGATGAAGAGGGAGTGCCCTCCCCACAAGATTCAGCTTCTCCTCTCCTGGTGAGTTTCTCTCCCTTTTATTTTAAATTCAGAGATAATTAGTTCATATCACTAAATACACTTTATCTTCTTCAAGGGTCCGTTGCCTAAGTCCAAGTCAGTGAGTGATGCCACAGCAGAGCAGATGCGCCGCAAGGAGAAGGAGCGAAAGAAGGAGGAAGAGAAGCGGGCAAAGAAAGAGAAGGAAAAGGAGAGATTGGCTAAGAAGCAGAGTAAGAAGGGCAAGTCTGCTGCTATCCCATCATTCACTGTGGAGGATTTTGTCCAGTCAGACACAAATCCCATCCCGCTCTTCGTGGAGAAGTGTGTGCAATTCATTGAAGACGATGGCCTGGATTCTGAGGGCGTCTATCGCGTCCCAGGGAACCGGGCTCAGGTTGACCTCCTCCTTCAGAAGTTTGATGAAGATCCTAATTTATCCATTGTGGAGTTGGACATTCCTATGAATGCTGTTGCCACTGCTCTTAAGGAGTTCTTTGCCAAGCGCCTCCCACCATTGCTTCCACCAGAAACCATGGAAGAACTGGCCCGTCTTGGAGGTAAGATTTCTTCTTCCTACAGTTGAAAAACCCTTCATCCATTTTTGTTACCTTTCTTTGTTTCCTTATTATTAGAAATGCCCGACAAGAGTCTTCGCCTGCTTCACCTGAGAGACCTGCTCAAGAGACTCCCTCAAACAAATTTTCACATCCTCAAGTACATGTTCCAGCATTTTGTGAAGTGAGTTCCAGAGTCCTTTCTGCTACAGGAGGTTGACTGTTTCTGAAATTTTTAAAATTTCTTTTACTTTGCAGAATCACTGAGAAGTGCAAAGTGAACAGCATGGACTCTCGAAATCTCGCTATTTGCTGGTGGCCAACACTCCTCCCTTATGAATTTAAAGACATGGGTCTGTTTGAACGAATGCGTCCCCATCTTGAGGATGCTGTCCAGACTATGATTGACCAGTTCCCTTTCATCTTTTGTGGGAAGGAGGAAGTGCTACGCGTTTGAGAAGCAAGTGATACTGTACCTACCATTTGGGCTGCTTTTTTCTTCTCTTTGGCGTTTTTCTATGAAGTGAATGTCTGGCATTGTCCCATGCTTTTCTTCATTGGCCTGTGTATGCTGGCTGTTGCGAAGCAAATCCTTTTTTCTTGTCTCCTGGTGCCATATTATTATGGTATTATTTTCCAGTGATGCTTTCATGACATTTTTGAAAGTTGATAACTGAGTGAACCACAGTTGTGCTTCTTTCCAACACATCTGGGGTTGATTTGGGGACAGAGGTTGGAGATATTACAATTTTTTCCCTGCTTCTCATCCCAAGCAGGAATCTCACAAGTGACAGAATCTCATTTAGATGCTTGTCAGAGGTGTTCTATTATCCAATCTATTCAGTGTTCTTTCGTGTTTAAAATCATGCATATGATTTTTAAGAAAGATAAATTTATGGTGGTGATGAACTGATACCTGGCCTTTCCTTGAAGACTGTCCCAAATGTGTTTCCCAAATGGTGTGCCTCCAGTAAGGCTTAGGTGTACCATGAGATTTGACAATTGACAAAAAAAAACTAAAAAACTAAAGCTAAAAAACACTTTAAAACATGTGGGAATGCCATCTCTCAGTGGAAAACAAGCTGAGAGTTCCACTATCACACCTTGCATCAAACTGCTGTGTTCAGTGAAGCTAGTGCAAGTTTCCCGTTGAAAGTAAGTAAATGGCTGGGTGGAAAATTCAAGTATCCTTATGTGTGCTGCAAATATAAAAAGATTGGGAACCACTGGTCTAGCCAATAGTCCACAATGTTTAAAAATCTAGAATCCTACTCTCATTTGAAAGTCCTGTTCGAAGAGAACTGAGAACAAGATTTTTTTAAGGTTGCTGACTGGATTTACAAGCTAAAAGGTTCGTTCAAATGAACAGCTAATTTTTGGGGGTTTCCTCTCTGGCCCACAATACTGTAAAACCAAGAATTGAAAACTAGTACAAAAGTACAGAATGCCCCAAAAATATTGGGCACATTTTGAAGTTTAACTTTTTGAAAGGTGGACAGAATGTCATGAAATGCCTCATATGCCAAGTAATTTCAAGACAAACATGTTGAGAATTCTTCTTTTCTTTGTCCTAGACATAGTCAACATAGTGGTTTTCCATTTACATGAAGTGCAAGAATTCTAGGCTGTGTTGCACAAAAGCTACAGAAGGCAAGATGCAAATGATACAGGAGTTTGGTTATGGGGTAATTGGAAGGAAGTCAATTGCTCAAGTGAATACTTTGTTCAGGTAGGATGGATAATAATTGCATCCATGCAAAACATCTTTTTGGCAAAGGTTCATTATGTTAATGTAAACCTCCACTGAAAAAAAAAATTTGTTTTCTGAAAATCTATCAATTGATTCTTTACACAACTGGTAGGTACACATTAAATCTTTGTTTTCCTCTGGAAGGCATTGATTCCCATGGAGTTGCCAGTCAACTAGGAACATTGCAAGTGTGGCAAGGACAAAAGGAAAAAGGAAAAGCATGTCAGTGTACACATAAAATGCATGCATTGAGTTGGAGGGAGACTTAGAGACTGCACATAGACAAATATGGGAATGAATGGAGGAATCAGCTTACAGCTCTGCATGATCAAGGAGTTCTATGAATTCAGTCATGCTGTTTACAAAATTCTGAACCAGGATATTTCTTAGCTTTATGCATTGGGCATGAGCAAATACCTTATTGAAGAATTTAATTCCAGTATATATATCAATTGCCGCTGACAGAAAATCACACTTCTTTCAACTGAATGCAGAACTCATGAGCAGAAGGCAGAATTCATCTCAAGTTTTAGGGATGAAGTAGAGAGATGGATTTCCAACAAGATGACCAAGGCAATAACGATGTACTTCAAGTAATTGTATAGTAACAATTTTGAGATGCAAAGCATACATGAAATTACATTTGGCAGCTCAGCAGGACGCAAGAAAAGAAGCGTTAATAAATAATATAGGTTTTCCCGACCGTATTCAGCATGAGCCGTTTCGAATTCGGCTGCGGTTACTTCTATTTCGGCGGCGCAAGGAAATCTCTTGTTTCTGGCAGATGAACATGTGTTTTATGCAGAGAAGGAAGGAAATAGCCAATGTTTCCACATTTGAGTTACTTTCTAAATTGAAGATGTGACACATTCCTGTTTTATCCGATAATGTAGCAACCTCATTTCTGGGGATATGACGAGGGTACACGACATTCGAGTACACGAGGGTACACGACATTCTTTGGGTGCATACCTCAGTCGCCATTCTGCGTCAGACTGTCGCCTAGGGTATAAAAGCCGTTTACTTTCAACCGCATTACCTCCAAAGTTACTTAACACGTTGACCGCCACGGAAATGCTGGCCCATTGATTTTCTCATTCAGTGAGGCGCACCGGTCAACCTGTTAATAAGCGGCAAGCAAACTATCTGGCTGTTACTCAAACAAGGCTTCCAGCAGAGGAGACAGCAACTACTTCCCTGAGGAAGTTTGAAGACTCCTAAACGAAGAAAAAGGACTCCTTCGGCTTTCCTGGATCATGCTAAAAGATCCTTCCAAGGACTTTCATTTAAATGCCAAAATATCGCTAAAGTGCATAGTTGGTTTTTGGCTTACAACCTTCCATATAGAACCCCTCGCCTATGTCTGTTTGGGTCGAGCATATTTATTATCATTCTATTATTTGAGATTTATTTTTATATGATTTTAAAATTTTCATGTAAAAAATGTTTCGAATTGTGCAGTCATTTTAAAAGAAATTTGTAAAGTAGCAAATAAATCAAATGGCAGCTTCCTACACATGAAATAAATCCCAACCCCTTCAAATGTCTGGATTAGCACAGCCTGAAATCTGGATAATCTTGAGGAGACCTTACACAGCCTCAGATTCAGAGAATGAAAATAAAAAAAGGAGCTTGTCACGAACGACCGGTTCGATGCCTCAATTTTCATTTCGTGAGTAGAATGCGCTGGGACTACTTTGATGAAGTCTAGAAATGATAAGTCACTTTAAGTCATTCCACGCTTTTGCGCAATTCCAGCACAGAATAAGGCTTAGCGTAAATAATCTGGATGGAGAATTTTCATAATTTCGTAAACGCCCATCGAGTCATCGAAATCTCGGCAATAAGGTACCTCAGTACAATGCCCAAGCTATCAATGGCATCGAAGAAGAGAGGGAAAAAAAGTACTTCCCATGCCGGGAATCGAACCCGGGCCTCCTGGGTGAAAGCCAGGTATCCTAGCCACTAGACCACATGGGAGTCGTATCATTACATTTTACACCGGTACGTTGTCATGAGAGTAGGTAGGGTAGATATCAGAACAAATCAATTTTGTTTTCCATGATGGAATGATAGATGTGCAGCAGGGGTCCACAAAACAGATCAGATTCTCACCAAAATGCGTCGTGGCCTATCCCATTAATTTTTTTTTTATAATAAAAAGAAAAACCCTCGCCATGCCATATATCGGTCTCATTCAAGATGGAATTCACTATATAACTCGAAGCAGGGCCGCCCAGAGGGGGGAGAATCGGAGACAATCTGCCCTGGGCTTCGCGTATCGAGGGGCCTCAAGGGAGGTCTCCATTGGCCTCAAAGAGGCCCCCCCAAGGGGCCTCCGGTTTAGCCAAATGAAATTTCCTTTCAGGCTCTTCCTGTGAACGTCTGATCCCCACCTCAAAGGATCATATATTAAAAAAGTGTGTAGGAAACTGGAGATTGGCATGGTAAATTGTCTTGGGATTTTATTCTGATTGTTTAAATGTCTGCTAATATGGAAATGATGTCCAATTATAAGTTTTATGAAATGGGGGCAGGACATGTCTGTTCTTCAGGGTGAGGTCATGAACACACATAAGAGAAGTAAGAAGTGAAGATCAGAGGTCCCTATGGATGAGTGCAGAAAACACAGTTCCTGAGACATGTCAATAATTGCAGGGAATAGACCGATCTCCTGTTTTGATGTCCAACCCTTCTGGGTGAAAATACAAATCTCCCAGTGTCTTCTCATGGATTAAAAAAAAAGTGCATGTAGCATGCCCTTGGTGAGAACCAAACTGCTGCCTGTATTCTCTCTGCTGTTACTATTTGTTTCCAAGATATCGGGTCACAGAACTTTGTGGGGTGACAAGGTGTCTTTTCAGGATGAATTTTCTCATTTAGCTCAGCAACTATTTGAGCTCTTGAAAAGCTCATTCAATATGTATCATTAAAAAAAAAATTTTTTTTTTTCAAAAGGAAGAAATTCATCATCTGATAATGGTTTTAAAGACCTCTGACCATGCTTTTGGGGAAAACATTATTTCCAACATCATTTGAATTCTCACAAATATATCTATTTCCATACCAATTCAGGAAACCGTTACAGAACACTAACTTTTTCAAATGTGGATGTTGTGGCTTTTCCAAGGATCGTCCTCCAAATGCACAGTTGCAGTTAACATTTTGTACATCCGAGCAGGGCCACCCAGAGGTTTCCCCAAGGCCTTGGGTAAAAACACAAGTTTCAAGTTTCTACCTTTTTTTGAAACAGGAAAAATAATTGAATGAAAAATGTTGACTTATGAAATTTAATTTGCTATTGTTTCAAAGTAAGCAGCTATAATTTACTTCCATTGTTGGTGATGTTGGAAGACCTAATTGTGTTAGGGTTCAAAAATTTAATGTAAAATTTGATGTTTTTTTTCAAATCCATAGCTACAGAAAAATGCATCTGAA